TGATGATCTTCCCACCAAAATACTCGATGACAGGAACGGCAGAATCACGTCCACCATAGAAATCTTGGATCAGTCCTCTGATGTGGTCGTGGTGAATGCCGTCCAGAATTTCTTTGATGGGCTCATCGACCTTGGTTGAGTATTTGGCAGCCATGGGTCCTTGTAAGATGCAGGTCCTGCCAACATCCTGATCAACCACAGCATCAAGATCCTCGGATTGCCAGAGAGAATCCTTCTTGAACCAGAACTCAAAGTTTTCGTCGAGAGAGGGAACAAATGGCACAGGCTTTTGACCGCGTCGCTGGCACAAGAGCAGGAAGTGCTGGACGTCCTGCGCATTGATCAACTGAGTTTCAGCCTCGGGATATGCGGCTAGAACCTTGTCCACAACAGGGAACGGGTTCTCGAATTCTGCGTAGCTCTGGATGAGGGAGGGTTTTCCCGAGCCGACAGTAAAACGTTCCTCGACTCGCCGGATGAAATCGACAGTGAGATTACGAAGCGTGACCTCGATCCACCGGGATTGATGCTTCACGTACATAAGTTCGACCATACGTCGAATCACTTCGGCATAGGTCATGTCCTCAAGGTCGACTGTCTCACCTCCAGAATTCTTGCCGAACCAAACTTTCTGGAAGTCGTCGTTCAGCTTCTTGATGATGTACTCGCGTTGCTTCTTAAGCTCTGCGACGCGCTTCTTTTTATCCAGGCTAAAGATCTTCTGATCCATCTCCGCCCAGAATTTGACACCGCGAGTCGCAAGCTTGTGAATTGGCTCGCCCATCTCCGATCGGACAGTGATAACACCGCCAGCGGCTCCTTTGTATGTCTTCTCCCAGTCGGAGTCATCAACACCTTCGGCTTCAGCAATGGCCTTCTTCGCATTGAAAGAAGTATGGGCCTCCTTCGCCGTCATCATGCGACTGCCAAAGAGGATACCATCAAAAGGCATCGGCGGATAGCCGAATTTGCGCGACCATGTACCGGTCAGATACGGATAAGTGTCTTCAGATCCGCCAAAACCGCTACCTGCCACCAGGATAATATTCTGGCATTTTCGAATACGGCCGTACATCTGGATGATTGGCTGATGGAAATCTTCGAAAGAGTGATGGCCACCACCGCGTCCACCAGTCCATTGCAGAATGACAGGGAATGTTGGATTGGCTTTGGCGATGTTAATGACTTGCTGGATGGCGTCCATAGACCCAGGCTTGAAGGCAATGTGCTTGATCCCGAGGGTATCGATGTATTCTTGAGCAACCTCGATCGATGGCACACCTGCACCGATAGTCAAGCCTTCGATGGGCACACCGTCAGCACGGAGCTGGGCGAGAAGCGGGATTTGCCAGCCCATAGCACGGGGATTGACATAGATCAAGTTGACTGTAATGCCTCGGCCAGGTGGAATTGCCTTCTCAATCTTGTTCAATGCTTCAGTCATACTCTTCGCATTGTAGTAACCGCCACCAGCCAATTCAATGTGGTAGCCGGCATTCATGGTCGCGGCAACGAAGTCCCACGGCACAGTGCAGGGAGTCATGCCAGCAACCATCAAAGGCGGCACACCCAGCAAGCGCGACATCTTGGTGTCTACGTAGGTTTGACCAACGGAAGTTTTGACAAGTCTGGGTCCATGTTCCTTGACCCAGTTGGTCGCATATTTCACGGCATGTTCCTCGTCGCGGTCGAAGAGTTCGGGCTTGTACCCAACTTCCGTGTTGGTCCCATCCATGGCACCTGCCAAAATCACGCGCACTCCGGTGCCATCTTTGTTGCGGTTGGTGAGAACTCCAAGGCCTGAAATCCCTCCTGGGCCAAAATCGATAATGTGGGAGGCGCCTTCAAAGACTGTAGCCTGCTCCCAGTGAACTGGATCCTGGGTGATCATACGCACAAGATCCGGGACCACATCCCTGTCTTGCTGGGCGCGAAGATCCTCACCAGTGTTTGTGTCGTACACGGGAATAGTCAAACGAGACGCGGGAATCTTAGTGTCGGCCAAGTCCTCGAGGATCTGCTTGTATGCCTCACTTAACAGGGGGCTATGGAAGGGAGCGGTAATTGGTAGGAACCGGTTGACAAAGCGCACCTTACGCTCCGTGAAGGGAATGCGGTTTTGGTCTAGACCAGTGGGAGCCTTGACCTTCCGTAGTCGAAGATTGAGACCATGCAGAGAGATTGGAGCACCGGTCACGACGAAGTTACGGGCACTGTTTACCAGAGAAATGGCAATATGTCGATCTTTGGGCAAATGCTCGTTGGTGGCGTCGATGTGCTCTTGGAGTTGCTTCTTAGACAGGTCTCGCACCGAAAGCATAGGTGTGGGATTGCCTTCCCCGGCTTCCAGTGAATCTTGCAGGATCGAGGGCGCAATACTTGTGCGAGGGTAGGCTTGCTGACTCCGCATGCCGATCCAGAAGAGCATGGTGATGGCATCTCTGGCCGCTCTTGCAAAGCTTTCCCACGAAGTTGCAGTGGCAATAGCCGCAGCGGTGACTACACCCTGAGAGTGGCCTGTGGTGCCATTGAACCGTTCATTGACCTCACCAGGCGTCTTCCCAAGGACTTTGCAGGTCACCTGATAGTGGGCAAGCTGGACCAGTCCGATCAAAGGTAAGCTGACGGGCGCAGAGACCAAGTAATCGGTGTCAGGCTGTGTTTCCTTGTCGGCGAGCCAGCTTAGTATGTCGAGGCCTTTGGTATAAAACTTGTCCGCCTTTGGACTTCTAGCCAATGTCTGCAGCAGCTCGGCCGAGGATTCAATCAGATCTTTGGTGAACGATGGATATGTGGTATAGACCTCGCGCAGCTCCTCAAAATATTCTTCAATGTTTCCCTGGCCGCCAAAGACGGTAAAAATGCTGGCCTCCTCATCATCTGCTGCCCGAAGCAGAGCCGAGTCGTGGGGTTTGATAGGCCGTGCCACTGCCGCACGACCAGCGTAGTAACACTGAACCAAAAGATTTTTCTTCGCCGTAATCCCGGGCAGGGTTGCAGCCAAAGCATGTACATCATTCGCATGCATGAAAGCTCGCTCAAACTCGTTCAGAGCCACCTTGAGCACTTCAACAAATCCAGCGGCCTCCTCGTCATCATCGACTTCAGCGGCAATGAAGCCAATGTAGCGGGCGACTAGCTCGGCACTTGATGAAGGCTCGTCATCTTGAGCGAGCTCATCTGTGGGTTCTGGGAGTGATGCATTGAACGCATCTTTCAGCTGAGATGCCTGGAAATGGAGACCGGTAGGTATCAGGAAGGAGTACTCCAAAGAGCCATGAGTGAGGATAAGAGGGCGGAGGTTCTGGGATGATCGAGGAGTGTGAGTGCCGGTCGCACCGCCGGAGTACATGGTTGCTGCCGTGTAGATGGAATGTTTCTATGTCGTGCGATAGTGTAAGGTAGTGTGTATTATCAAAGTGAGCAAGCTAATGCCACTTGAAAATTTGCGCGTTCCTGAGGGAATGAGTGAGGAAGATAGAAAGGAGTGTCAGTCGAGAAATTATGTTGGAGCAGGAACAGACACAGCTGGTAGCACGATAGGATTAGTTATTGAGGAAATGGCAAAGTGGCCACTGGAGCAATGGAAGGCACTCAAGAGCAGTATGTATTGGCGGTGGTCTTCCAATGTTGGATGGATCTGATGATCTTGCGATACGAATATGGCCGAAGCTGTGAATGTCTGTTGAGTGAAGCACAAAGTTTTTCCCGCTTCGCCGCTCCCAAACGATCACTCAGACCTCAGCAACCCCAAAACGCAACCATTCCAGGCCATCCAAGCCCAGCCTCACGCCGGCCGGGGCGTTGTGGATCCCTGGTTCCGGCGGTCCTCACCAGATATGCGCCAATGGTAATCCCCGGATGACGGCCCCTCAGACAACTAGGCCACGCTAAAATTTTGGTGGGCAGCGCGCTTCTGCAGGGACAGGTACAACGGCGTCATCGCTTCCTCCTCAACCCTCTTGACGGAAGAAAGGAAAACACTCGCAACAGTGGTCATACTAATCAAATCAACTTGGGCTGGGTGGCTAGGCAGAGTAGGCAGCAAGATTCAGTGAATGAGCATTTGCGCTAACATATTGATTGTTCTTGTCTCCAAGAAGAAAAGGATACTGTGTTCTCTCTAAGCACCTACCAGAACCACCAGTGAGCTCGTGAGTGACCTCAGCTTTACGTCGCTGTGCAGATACTTCTCCAATTCTGGGCTTCGCTTTACGAAGAAGGCCCCTTGGATAGGTACCTCTAGGTGCCTAGCTCGGTCCCTGCAAGTTTTGTGGTGCCCGGCGGCGGAAAAACCCTGCCTAGAAGATTTTTTGCCTCCCCAAAATTTTTCGTGGGGGAGCCAGACTCACAGCCGGCCAACTTCGGCTTATCCATAGTGCCCACTCTGTCCCCACTCCTTTCTCAACCTTCCCATTCTCGTTGTCTCCAACAAACACTGCAGGTGTTGGTGGTTCAAGCCTATCAGGCTGATGCGTGCATGTACAGGGCGACGGCCAATTTTTTCAACATCTCCGCCCGCAGTTGGTTACAGCATCCATCCGCAGCTTGACAGATCCCTTCCCAACCAAAATCAAAGCGACGTCGCAAAAACTCATCTTGCTCGCCGCTTGACCTCTTCTGTCTCCATATTCAATTCAACCCTCTTGTCCGTGGGCTGATTGTCATCTTGTTGCGGATTACTTTTTCTTTCCCGAAGCCACAGGACACCTGAACGTCGAGGTTCGAAACAACTTCATCACTTTCCAACCTCCCAGCTCCTCCGCACTCCTTCCTCCGATACATCCTTTCCTTCATCCCATTGTAACCACCAATTTGGCTTGTTTAACCAAGCACAAGTACCTTCACTGCACAACCTGTGCTCGCCATTGCCCTGCTCTGATTAACTTCATCCAGCACCGGGCAATCGGATCTGGTCAATCCGACCTCAGACTCTAGAAAGAGAAGCCTTCATCCTTCATAATTGTACCTCGAAACCTCGAAGCCTCGAAACCGCCGAAATGCGTCCCGAAGTCGAGCAAGAGCTCGCTCATACGCTCCTTGTTGAGCTTCTAGCATATCAATTTGCCTCGCCGGTCAGGTGGATTGAGACACAAGATGTTATCCTTGAAAAGAATAGAACAGAAAGAATTGTTGAAATTGGTCCTGCAGACACTCTAGGCGGTATGGCCAAGAGAACCCTTGCCTCCAAATATGAGACCTACGATGCTGCTACCTCATTATCGCGACAGGTGCTAGCGTACAACAAGGATTTGAAAGAGATTTACTATGATGTTGATCCGGTGGAGGAAGAGCCTGCTCCAGCAGCTGCTCAAGCTTCATCGTCCGCTGCAGCATCATCGACACCTGCTCCTGCTGCTGCTCCCTCCGCCACAGCCGCAGCTCCTCCGCCAGCAGCCGGCGCTGGCCCTGCGGCTGCAGTGCCGGATGCTCCAATTGGAGCAGTCGACATCTTGCGGGCGTTGGTGGCTCAGAAGTTGAAGAAGCCACTTGCAGATATCCCCCTCAGCAAGGCAATCAAGGACTTGGTTGGTGGAAAATCGACCCTCCAAAACGAAATTCTAGGAGATTTGGGCAAGGAGTTTGGCTCCACACCAGAGAAACCAGAAGACACCCCCTTGGACGAACTCGGTGCTTCAATGCAATCAACTTTCAACGGCCAGCTCGGCAAGCAGTCGCAGTCACTGATTGCCCGCTTGGTTGCCTCCAAAATGCCTGGTGGCTTTAATATTACGGCTGTCAGAAAACACCTCGAGACCAGCTTCGGACTCGGACCTGGTAGACAGGATGGAGTTCTTCTGCTCGCTCTGACCATGGAGCCAGCGTCACGTCTAGGTTCGGAAAGCGATGCCAAGGCTTATCTCAGCGATGTTGCCCAGAAATATGCTGCAGCAGCTGGAATCAGCCTTTCCTCCGCCTCAGCTGGTGGTGCCGCAGCCGGTGGTGCCGCCGCTGGCATGATGATGGATCCGGCTGCTATCGATGCTCTGACCAAGGATCAACGAGCACTGTTCAAACAGCAACTCGAGCTGTTAGCCCGTTACCTCAAGATGGATCTACGTGCTGGTGATAAAGCTTTCGTTGGCTCTCAAGAGGCCAACAAGGCCCTCCAAGCCCAGCTCGATCTTTGGAACACCGAACATGGCGAGTTCTATGCTTCAGGAATTGAACCTTCCTTCAGCCCTTTGAAAGCTCGTGTTTACGACTCTTCGTGGAACTGGGCCCGACAAGATGCTCTCAGCATGTACTATGACATCATTTTCGGCCGTCTCAAGGCAGTGGACCGAGAAATCGTCAGCCAGTGCATTCGGATCATGAACCGATCGAATCCAACCCTGATCGCCTATATGCAATATCACATTGACAATTGCCCCACTGAGCGAGGCGAGACTTATAAACTGGCCAAGGAGCTGGGAGAGCAACTTATTGAGAACTGCAAGGATGTTCTCAATGAAGCGCCGGTTTACAAAGATGTCATGGTCCCGACCGGTCCCCAGACCACGATCGATGCGCGAGGCAACCTCGACTACAAAGAAGTCCCCCGACAAAGTGCCCGCAAGCTTGAGCACTACGTGCGTGAGATGGCCGAGGGTGGGAAGATCTCTGAATACAGCAATCGGACTAAAGTGCAGAATGACCTGCGCAACGTTTACAAGTTGATTCGAAAACAGCACAAGCTATCAAAAGCTTCCCAGTTGCAATTCAACACCTTGTACAAGGATGTTGTCCGTGCTTTGGCAATGAACGAGTCACAAATCATGCCACAGGAGAATGGTGATGTCAAGAAACCTGGTCGCAACGGACTGCCACGAGCTACCATGAACGGAAACGTTAAGCAAGGCAAGACGGAGACAATTCCGTTCCTCCATCTAAAGAAGAAAGAACAACATGGTTGGGAGTACAGCAAGAAGTTGACGGGTATCTACCTCGAAGGGCTTGAGAACGCGGCTAAGTCAGGCCTAACTTTCCAGGGCAAAATGGCGCTGATGACCGGTGCCGGTGCCGGCTCCATTGGAGCGGAAGTTCTACAAGGTCTGATCAGTGGTGGCGCCAAAGTCGTTGTCACGACCAGCCGCTACTCACGTGAGGTCACCGAGTACTACCAGTCAATGTATGCTCGGTTCGGTGGCCGTGGCTCTCAGCTTGTCGTAGTGCCATTTAATCAAGGAAGCAAACAGGACGTGGAAGCCCTGGTTGACTACATCTACGACACTAAAAAGGGTCTTGGTTGGGATCTGGACTTCATTGTGCCCTTCGCCGCTATACCTGAGAACGGCCGCGAAATCGACAGCATCGACTCCAAGTCTGAGCTTGCTCATCGTATCATGTTGACTAACCTGATTCGTCTGCTTGGATATGTCAAGTCGAAGAAATTTGAGAACGGGTTCAACACTCGACCGGCCCAAGTCATGCTTCCTCTCTCGCCGAACCACGGTACCTTTGGCAATGATGGTCTTTACTCCGAGTCCAAGCTTGCGCTGGAGACTCTCTTCAACCGTTGGTCTTCCGAGAGCTGGGGTGACTACCTCACAATTTGCGGCGCCGTCATTGGGTGGACTCGTGGAACCGGGTTGATGAGTGGCAACAACATTGTGGCTGACGGCGTCGAGAAATACGGCGTCCGAACCTTCTCCCAACAGGAGATGGCATTCAACCTACTTGGTCTGATGTCCCCTGCGATTATCGACCTATGTCAACAAGAACCCGTCTTCGCCGACTTGAACGGAGGTCTTCAGTTCTTGCCAGATCTCAAGGACCTCATGACGAAGCTTCGAGCAGAAATCATGGAGACAAGCGCCATCCGACAAGCAGTTACCAAGGAGACCGCCCTGGAGAACAAGGTTGTTAATGGTGAGGACAGCGAGGCTCTTTACAAGAAGGTTACCATCGAGCCCAGAGCCAACCTGAAGTTTGACTTCCCCGAGCTGCCTGACTGGCAGAAAGAAGTCGAGCCACTTAATGCCAAGCTCAAGGGCATGGTTGACCTCGACAAGGTGGTTGTCGTCACTGGCTTCTCCGAGATTGGGCCTTGGGGCAACTCTCGTACCCGGTGGGAGATGGAAGCCTACGGTGAGTTCTCCTTGGAGGGCTGCGTTGAGATGGCCTGGATGATGGGTTTGATCAAGAACCATAACGGACCACTTAAGGGCAAATCATACTCTGGCTGGGTTGATGCAAAGACCGGCGAACCTGTCGACGACAAGGATGTCAAAGCAAAATACGAAAAACACATCCTCGAACACTCTGGTATTCGTCTTATTGAGCCCGAGTTGTTCAATGGCTATGACCCAAAGAAGAAGCAGTTGCTCCAGGAAATCCAGATAGAAGAAGATCTCGACCAATTCGAGTCCTCCAAGGAGACTGCTGAGGAGTTCAAGCGACAGCATGGCGATAAGGTTGAGGTTTTCGAACTCGAATCTGGAGAGTACAGTGTCCGCTTGAAGAAGGGGGCGACTCTTTTGATTCCCAAAGCCCTTCGATTTGATCGTCTTGTTGCTGGTCAAATCCCCACGGGCTGGAACGCGAAGACCTATGGTGTTCCAGACGACATCATCTCCCAAGTTGACCAGGTCACGCTGTTTGTCCTTGTCTGCACTGCTGAAGCTCTCCTATCAGCTGGTGTTACAGATCCGTATGAATTCTACAAGTACGTGCATCTGTCTGAGGTGGGTAACTGCGTCGGGTCCGGTATCGGTGGCACCACTGCACTTCGGGGCATGTACAAGGATCGCTTCATGGATAAACCCGTTCAGAAGGACATTCTCCAAGAATCTTTCATCAACACCATGGCCGCATGGGTCAATATGTTACTCTTGTCATCGACCGGTCCGATCAAGACCCCTGTGGGTGCATGTGCTACTGCTGTCGAGTCAGTCGATATTGGTTACGAGACCATTGTCGAAGGAAAGGCCCGCGTTTGCTTTGTCGGCGGTTTTGATGATTTCCAAGAAGAGGGTTCCTACGAGTTCGCGAACATGAAAGCCACCAGCAACGCTGAAGACGAATTTGCGCATGGTCGGACGCCCAAGGAGATGTCTCGTCCTACTACCACTACTCGAAATGGATTCATGGAATCTCAAGGCTGTGGCATGCAAATTATCATGTCGGCTCGTCTTGCTCTGGACATGGGAACACCCATCTATGGTATCCTCGGCCTCGTCTCTACTGCCACAGACAAGATCGGTCGCTCCGTGCCCGCCCCTGGTCAAGGTGTCTTGACCACGGCTCGTGAAAACCCCGGCAAATTCCCCTCGCCTCTGCTTGACATCAACTACCGTCGGCGACAGCTCGAACTCAGGCGCCGTGCCATCAAGAACTGGCAAGAGTCTGAACTTCTGTACCTCCACGAGGAGGTTGCAGCGATGAAGGCCCAGGCCGGCTTCGGTTTCAATGAGGCCGAATACATGCAAGAACGTGCCGAGCACATTGAACGTGAAGCAATTCGTCAAGAAAAGGAAGCACAGTTCAGCTTGGGCAACAATTTCTGGAAGCAAGATCCCACCATCGCCCCCCTTCGTGGAGCCCTGGCTACTTGGGGTCTCACCATTGATGACCTTGATGTTGCTTCCTTCCACGGAACCTCGACCGTTGCGAACGACAAGAACGAATCCGAGGTTCTCTGCAAACAAATGGCACATCTCGGCCGCAAGAAGGGCAATGCCATGCTTGGTATCTTCCAGAAGTACCTAACCGGTCATCCCAAGGGTGCAGCTGGTGCCTGGATGTTCAATGGTTGCTTGCAAGTTCTCAACAGCGGCCTCGTTCCCGGGAACCGGAATGCCGACAATGTTGACCAGGTGATGGAGAAATTCGACTACATTGTTTACCCCAGCCGATCACTGCAGACAGATGGCATCAAAGCATTCTCCGTCACATCCTTCGGTTTCGGTCAAAAGGGCGCCCAAGCAATCGGCATCCACCCCAAATACCTCTATGCCGCCTTGGACGAAGCGGAGTTCCAGCGCTACAAGGTTAAGGTCGAGGCAAGGCAGAAGAAGGCCTACAGGTACCTCCACAATGGTATGATCAACAACACTGTATTCGTGGCCAAGACCAAGGCACCATATCCGGACGAGATCATGCAGAAGGTCTTCCTCAATCCCGAGCAGCGCGTAGTTGCCGACAAGAAATCGGGAGAGCTCATCTACCACCCTACCCAGCCCAAGAAGACACCAAGCCCTAATGCCCTGGAGACAAAGGCCATGCTTGAATCGCTGACGCAAGCCAATGCCACAGAAGGATCCAAGATTGGCGTTGATGTCGAGGACATTCGAGCCATCAACATCGACAACGAGACTTTTGTGAAGAGAAACTTCACCGAACAGGAGCGAGCTTACTGCAACAAGGCACCGTCTCCTCAGGCTTCGTATGCAGGACGATGGAGCGCGAAAGAAGCAGTATTCAAGTCACTGGGTGTGCAGAGCAAGGGTGCCGGAGCCCCTCTGTCGGACATTGAGATCCTGGTCGATGAGAAGGGAGCACCCAAAGTCGCCCTCCACGGCGCGGCGCTCGAGGCCGCGAAGCAAGTGGGTGTCAAAACGGTGAATGTCAGCATTAGCCACAGTGATAGCCAGGCGATTGCCGTCGCCGTGTCGGCGTTTTGAGGTACCAGGACATATTCAGCTTTCTGATTGTACGCATTTGGCGGGTGATTAACATGGCGCAAGCATGGGACTGCTGGGTTGGAGTTCCCATTTCCTTGGGTTTTGGTTCATTCTGGCGCTGGAAGTTGATGGAATAGGCGATGGCCTGCTAGGATTAATGGAACAGACAGTTGTGTAACCACGAGCCTCAGGGCTGATCATCAGCATGAGACATAATAGATCTCTTGTATTGTTTTGAACACAGAATCCAATTCTTACTCGATCATCTCGTGTACTGTTTGGCAAAGTGTGGCTCTTCAGACACTGCGTGAGTGGGTACACGTGATGCTGCCGCCTATACTCAGAACCGGTATATACTAGACTATACGAGACTTTAAGCAAAATAAGTGAATAGGAACAGTCGACAGGATATAAGCCCGTGTTCACTTTTTCTATTTCTGCAAACATTTTATTGAACTCTCAGTATCTACAAGGGTCGGATGGCTCGAGCAAATACAAAGGACAAAACTCGCTCGCTCGCTCGGCGTAATTGGCACAAACACAATTTGGCCGAGAGAAGAGCCGGCCTTGAGGATTGGATCATTCCAGACCATGAAAGGATAAAGACCTACAAAAGGGGATTCCGCACGTCAATTCTATTAACTGCTCCCTCTTCAGAACATCTTGGACCATGAATAGTCTATCTGTTGAGCAACAGGCTCGCGCCGCCAAAGCCTACATACTCCAGGAACTAAAGAAGACCGCCGATGGTACCTCGATACTCGAGGACAAAGATTTTGCTGCCAGGCTCGACACAAACTTCATCACCATCTTTGCCATATTTGCGGAGCTATACGGCTACCGGCATGATTGCCTGGACCAACTTGTTGACCTGATAAGAATGTGTGGGAAAAGCTGGCAAGAAAGATCTCCCGACCTACAGAAGGTTGACAGGCAACGGGAAGCCGATCCCGAGTGGTATCTCTCGAATCAGATGCTGGGAGGGGTCTGCTATGTCGACCGGTACGCTGGAAATCTGGCTGGTATCAAGAAGCGCATCCCCTACTTCAAAGAGCTGGGGTTGACTTATCTCCATTTGATGCCCTTGTTCCCGGCACCTCAACCACTCAATGACGGAGGCTATGCTGTGTCAAGCTATCGAGACGTGCAGGCTCAACTGGGGACCATCGAGGAGCTTAGAGATCTGGCAACGGAGCTGAGAAAAGCGGGCATCAGCTTGGTGCTCGATCTGGTGTTCAATCATACCTCCAATGAGCATCAATGGGCAAAGAAAGCAGCCGAGGGCGATCCTGAGCATTCCGCCATGTATTGGATCTTCCCAGACCGAAACGTCCCCTCATCGTTTGAACGGTCGACGCGGGAAATCTTTCCAGATGATCACCCTGGCTCTTTTATCCAACTGCCAGACGGCCGGTTCGTATGGTCGACCTTTTATCACTTCCAGTGGGATCTCAACTACTCGAATCCGGCCGTGTTCAGAGCCATGGCGGGCGAGATGCTGTACCTAGCCAACGTGGGTGTCGACTTCTTCCGGATGGATGCCGTCGCCTTTATGTGGAAACAAATGAACACCGACTGTGAGAATCTTCCAGAGGTCCACAAACTGCTCCGAGCATTTAATGCTCTCTGTCGAATCGCGGCTCCGTCGGTCCTGTTCAAATCCGAGGCAATTGTCCATCCGGATTTTGTGGTGCAATACATTGACCGGTACGAGTGCCAACTGTCTTATAACCCCCTTCAGATGGCTCTGACATGGGAGGCATTGGCCACTCGAGATGCATCGATGCTGTCCCAGGCGATAGAGCGCAGACACAACATAGCGCGAGGCTGTGCTTGGGTCAATTACGTCCGATCCCATGATGATATCGGTTGGACCTTTTCTGACGAGGATGCGACTGAACTTGGTAAGGAGGGTCGAAACCATCGGAAGTTCCTCAACGCCTTCTTCGTCAACCGCCATCCGGGAAGTTTTGCTCGAGGGGTCCCGTTTCAGGATAATCCAAAAACAGGGGACTGCAGGATATCTGGCACCACGGCTTCATTGGCAGGGTTGGAGTCGATGCAGGATCATGCCATTGAGAGGATACTACTCGCATATTCCATCGCCATGAGCACGGGTGGGATCCCACTCATCTACCTGGGGGACGAGGTCGGTCAACTCAACGATTATAGCTACCTCAACGATCCCGCGAAAATGGACGACAGCAGATGGGTGAATCGGCCCTGGTATCCAGAATCGCGGTACGCCGACCGACACGACAGCAGCACCATCTCAGGGGCGATATATGCGGGCATGAAACATCTCATCCACTTGCGCAAAACCACAGACGAACTCGCAGGAGGGAGGGCGATTGGGTTCTACACGGGCAATCCCGCCATCCTTGGGTATCAGCGTCCAGGTGTCACCTCGAGCGTTTTGTGTCTCTGCAACTTCTCGGATGAAGCCCAGTGGATCGGCCGCGACAGGTTTTTGGGGATGCCTGTAGAGACGACGGATCTGGTGAGTGGCTATGTGATCAACTTACGGGATGCGGGAATCCATATGAAGCCGCATCAGTTCATGTGGTTGAGGTTTTGATTTTGTGGGCAGCTGAACTCTTAATGGGTGGATTTCGCCGTCGCCACGCCTTTTGCCACTTCCCGCGGGTACTACAGGATCCTTGTACATAATAATGGTCGATGATAGGGCCAAACCATGCTCATCCTAAGCGCGTGCCGTGTGGAGTGCCGCACATTTCTTTCCTGCAGACAAGATCCCTCGTCACAATTCTCCAGCATCCCGCAAGTATCGACATCTATCGGAATGCCCACCACTGTATTAAATGCTGCATGATTCGATCACATAGCCGGGTCGATCTTAGCTGACACCGGTTGATCCAAGGTATGCGCATGCAGGAATCAGTCTAACGAGCAGCTGGAATAATTTTTGTGGTGTCCTCGGCACATCCCTTCAGCCTTGATCGATTTTTGTGAGTTGGCGTGCCGTATATCAAATCCAGGCCGTGGAGCAGGAATACGGCAATGGATGAGCTGGATGCCCTCCTCGACTCGCTCATCGAACAACGCAAGGCTCCAGAGGCGTCGTATATTGACAGTAACCATGAAAAGACCCTCAAGATCGAACAGGTACCGGGAAAGGGCCAAGGGGTGTTCGCAAAGCAGTTCTTGTCTGTCAAGGACCCGATCTGTTCATTACCGTGTCCAACCATGATGGCGATCGACTCGGACTTTTTACACACGACGTGCTACCACTGCCTTGTCGTCAGCGAGAGTCCACTGCCCATTCCCGGGTACGGACACGCCTCTATCCAGCTCAAGATCTGCAACGGCTGTCACGCCGCTCGCTTCTGCAGCAGGAGCTGTCAGGTCGATGCGTGGCACGCATACCACAAGTACGAATGCAAGATCTTCAAGAAGGTGCAGAACAACCTGCCACCTGCCATCCTCCGGGCCGTGCTGCGGGCGGTGCTCCTCAAAGACCGCGACAAGCTGCCGAGCGACGAATGGGGCCGCATCACGCAGCTGACTTCGCATGAGCAGATCCTCGCTGCACGGGGCCGGTCGAACCTCACCGACATGGCCGAGGGGATCAAACACCTGGCCGCGTCCAGCATGGCCATTGAGATGATCCAGCGGCTGATCTTCATCATGAAATCCAACGCGACCGAGCTGCCGACCCCAATCCAGGGCGGGATCGGTGTCATGTTGGAGCCTCTGGTGGCCAAGTTCAACCACAGCTGTGACCCAAACCTGGCCGTCCATAGGCCTCAACACACCATGACCGGTGGCTGGATGACCTCCACGCAGCTCTCGGACGACCAGCGGCGGACATTCATCCACGTCATTCCGCTCCGAGACATCCAACCAGACGAGGAGCTGTTCAATTGCTACATCGTGCCCACGGCAGCGGTGAGCGCCAGGAGAGCAAAGCTGATGGAAGACTACTTCTTCACGTGCAACTGCCCCAAGTGCCTCGCAGACATCAAGGCCGCCGCCGACCTGGCCGCGGAGCAACCGCGTCTCCCAGAGCAGTTTGACAAGTGGACCGAGTCGGTCGCGCGCCATCTGTCGCCCGAGAAGCGTAGCCTCGAAGCCTTCCGCCGTGCCGCCACCGCCATGGACAAAAGCGACCGCTTCCTTGACCACCCTTCCCTGTACACCACGGGCAAATTCCCCGACATGGCTATGCGACTCATCCTCGAAGCGCTCAAGTACCAGGCCCTCGACGAAGCGCTGGTGAACGTGCTCCGCGTGTTTTTCCTCGTCAACCCGTCGCGCTTCGTTGGTCGACACAACCCCACCCACATATACACCGTCTTCCTCATGCTGGACGTCTTCGATGTGTTGCTGGGACTCTCGACTTCGGCGGCAATCGCCAGCGACAAGGTCGACAAAGCGCTGCAGAACCTGTCGAGTCGAGGACTTGGGAAGGGCGAGGTGATGTATTGGCGACGGAGGTTCTGCGCGGACTTGCGAACGAGGGTGGAAGCGAGCGCGTTGACGGATCTGCTGGTTCTGGTTCAGCAGAGGGAAAAGCAGGCGGAGCAGAAGACCGCGGACCAAGAGTCCCTCTCTGGAGGGGAGGGACTAAAAGAACGTGCGGAAGAGGGAATGAGAGCTGTCTTGAAGTTGAATGAGCAGACATGGCAAAGTTTCCTAAAGGAGACGGGGTGCTGAAGTCAAGTTCGCTCTCTTGCTCGCTCATCAGACGCACAAGTCAACCCTGATCTCGGGATACCTGATCCTACGACGAACGATGAGTCTTAAAGTCTCCATCTTCGAGTTCTTTATATGGGCTATAGTGAGAATAAAATATACAAGTACAGCCGATATCAGAGACTTGTTCAATTTGGAAAGGCGAGCAACGACCCAAACCGAGGCGTGTATAAGCGCGTCCCGAGGGCGGTGCTTCAAACCTTGAACGTGCATGCATTCCGAGGGTCTCGTTTAGGCGGGCCTCTGGAGCCTCACCATGATCAGTTTACACGAGTCTTGCGAAC